GATTTCACTTGACGCCGGTAGTTCTCCGACCGGATGAATGCTTGTTCACGTCTCTCTTCGACCAGGTGGAGGTCGATCTTCATGTTTTCCTCGTTGACCTCAGGGTCATACTGCTCCACCCATCGGCTGGGAATGACGACTTCCGTGGGTGCCTTTGCTTCAAAGCCATAGCACAGGGCAAAAGGTGTTTCACCTGTTGCCCTCCTCGGCGTAGTACGATAGCACCACAGGATGTTGGGGAGCTCGTCGACCAAACTTCCTCCTGCATCCTGGAGCTTCTTTTTCAGCCCCTCCATTATAGTTCTGTTGGCGTTCTCAACATGCCCGTTGCCCTGAGGATAGGCGACGAAGGAGAAACGGTGCTTTATTCCCCATTCTCGAAGGAGCTCCTAGAAGGGTGCTGCTTCGAACTGGGTGCCATTGTCGGATATGATCTCTTGGGGGACGCCGAAGCGGGTAATGACATTCTTATGGACGAACTTCTGACATCTCGCCCCTGTGATGCTGGCCAACGGTTCCGCTTCGACCCACTTGGTGAAGTAGTCGACTGTGACGATGATGTAGCGGTTGTTGCCAGTAGCTCTGGGTAATGGGCCGACCAGGTCAATCCCCCACCTTGAAAATGGAATGGCAGTGCTGACCGGGGCGTAGTTGACGGCTGCCCGATCAGGGGCCTTCTGGAGTACCTGGCATGCGGTGCATTTTCTGGCGAGATCTGCACAATCCCGCGCCATCGTCGGCCAGAAATAGCCCTGGACGACGAGACGTCTGGACATGCTGAAATCTGGATCTGCACAATCTCGCCATTGTGCATTTTCTGGCGAGATCTGCACAATCCCGCGCCATCGTCGGCCAGGTAATTGCATACGACCTCAAGACTAGGAGGATGCCATCATGTTGGTCCTGTGGGAGTTGCTTCCCGATTCTCAGGACCCGCTCCGGCCGGGAGGCATCCAGGGGGACCTCCTCGATCTCTTCGGCTGGTTCGACGTGTGGCCTCTCCTCGTCCTTGGCGACGGTTGCAGTGATGGTGTGTATTCTTTGTCCTTCTCTTTCGGCTGGCTTTGTTAGCTTGAGGTAACATGCTCTGGCTATCCTCTGGTTGCCTCTAGCGTAGCCGATGCCGCCGCTGGTCGGAAACTTCAAGCATAAGTGTTTCATGGAGATGATGGCCTCCAGGTCCTGCAGTGTTGGCCGCCCCCAGATCAGATTGTGGGCGCACTGAAGGTTGACCACCATAAACTCCATGTCAATCTTCGCGCGGTGGGAGCCGTCGCCGACCTCCACGGGAAGGACTATCGTGCCCTCAGCATCGATAGAGTCCTCGGTGAATCCGGACAACGGTGTCTTGATCGGCTTGAGCAAAGCCTTGTTCAGTTTCAGCTGCTTGAAAGTGTCCAGGTACATCACATTGACGGAGCTCCCCGTATCGATGTAAGTGCGGTGGATGATCGAGTTACCAATCTCACATCGGATGACGAGGGTGTCCCTATGTGATTCAGTATCCGGAGGTAGATCCTTGTCGGTGAAGGTGATCGCCTTCGTCCGCTGCTTCTTCGGTTGGGGGGGGGGGACGTGGGATACCTCTCCAATGTAGAGGGATTGGGATCATTTCTTCCTCTGGGTGACGGAGTCCCCCCAGTGTTTCCACCTACGATGAGGTGAATGTGATTCTTCTTTGGTGGGGGCTCCTCAAAGTCTTCCTCATCATCGTTGAGCCTACCGATCTCCCGTTTCTTCGTAGAGGGTTCGCTCCCGGATTTGCTAGTGTTTACCCACGTATTTTTGCGCTGACCACCTTTAACAAATTGGGAGAGTTCCCCCTGCCGAATCAGGCGCTCGATGGCTTTCTTCAGCGTGATGCAGTCGTCGGTGTTGTGGGAAGTGTTCTTGTGGAAACGGCAGTAGGTGCCGCCTTGTTGAATGGCATGGACTTCCTTCGTCGTTCGAGGAGCTTGTTCAATGAGGTCATGCTTCTCGGCGTAGTCGAGGATGGTGCTGACCGAGTACGTGAGGGGGATACCCGGCCGTTCCAGCCTCAGCCGCCAATGGTGGTCTTTCTTGCTTTGTCCACCAGAGCCGTGACGGCCCTGGGCACCCTGGCCAGCCGGGGATGTTCCCAGGACCGACGAAGGATTTGTCTTCTTGGAGGGGTGGCCTCCGTCTTTCTTGTGGCTGAAGCGCCTTTACATATGACCTCGGGGGTCGGTGATGAGGCTCCTTGCGTAGGGGGTGCTGCGGAGAGCTCCCTGATAGAGGACGAGGAGGGTGCGCTCATCGCCCCCCTCAACTTCCTCGGTCTCCTTCGTCCACCGATCTATGAAAGACCGGAGTGACTCGTCGTGTTGCTGCTTGACCGAGAGGAGATGGGTGAAGTACTTCTTCGCACGCTTCCTCCCGGCAAAGTGGGTGAGGAAGAGCTGGGCAAGGTCCTGCCATGAGTCTATACTTCCTTCGGGAAGCGCGTTGAACCACTCGTACGTTGGCCCTTCAAGAGTGGAGAGGAACCAACGGCAGAGGTATTCATCTGACGCGTTCACCATCAGCATGTTGTTCTGGTAGCGGCTGAAGTGTTCCTGGGGATCGGAGCGGCCGTTGTAGGTCTTGATGGCGTTTCCCTTGTACTTCTCTGGGATGGGAGCCGAGAGCACCCTGTTAGTGAAGGGAGTCCTGGTCCTGACCTAGATGACAGGGTCACCTCGTCCTTCAGCTAATTCCCTCTCAAGGGCGCTGACCTTGTTCATGAGTGCATTGAGGCCGGGGTCATTGGAGGCACCGGCCATGGGAATGTTCGCCGACTGTCTGGCCTCCATCTGGGCCAGTCTCCTTTCCAGCTGGGCGATAACCTCGTCTCGAGGGTCCCTGGCGGCCGCAGTGGCGCCCTGTTGGTTTTGCATGCGCACCTTGTGGGCCGTGTTGATCTGGTGGCGCACGTTCTCCTCGTGCAGCTCTCCCTTGCCTTTGTTCAGGTGGGGCTGGTCCGCTGTCCGGGACACAGACCCCAGGCTTTCCCTTGGCGAGCCAGGCCGGTGTTCACCAATCCGTCCCGCCATCCTCTCCGATACCGGACGATGGCGCATGTCACCCAGCCTATTGAAGGCAGAGGCTGTTCCACGCGTTGGGGTCGGTTCGGGCCGAAGAGGTGAAGCGGGATGGGAGTGGGACGAAGCCGTATCCTGGGCTATCATCCCCTCATCGTTGCCTAGCTTGATGGCCAACGGTTGGGGGTGAGGAGGTGGAGTGATGTTCCCCCCAGTCCTTGGCATGAGTGCGCTGAGGACGGTGGGGTTCTGAGCCAGGCTGGCAATGATGACCGATAGTGCGGCCTGAACCTGCAGGTCAACAGACGGAGAAGCCGTGGCCAACGGTTGGGCCGTGGCATTGTCTGCCTTCTCTGCGCGCTTCTTATCTAGGCCGATGCGGGCATCAGGGGCGCCGCCGTTGAGCTAGTTGTGCAGATCCGCCGTGAGGTTGATGGCCTCCTGGAAGACATCCCCTCCTCCGACCTGGTCGGCCGTGGCGTCCTCCTCACGTTCCCTGTTCTCCTGGTCCTCAGGGATGGCTTTGCTGACGAGGTTGCGGTTTGACTTAGTTCGTCCCATGATCGGTGGTTAGCTGTGCTTGGTAGCGACGAAGGATGCTAACTTGATTGTTCTAGCTCTCAACGAGAGCACCAAGTGATAGAGTATATTCTAGAGAGAAGTGAGAGCTAGAGAGAGAAGTGAAAGTAAATGCTTCAATAAATGATTTTCCAACCCCTACAACTACCTCCAGAGGAAGTATTTATAGGAAAAATACGGGCTGGGCTCCCAAGCCTTGGGCTTGGGAAGCCCATTTACAACTGGACCGCTATTGGGCCAGATACAAAGTAAATGATGGAGTATACAAATGAGTAAGTGTAAGATCCGGTTCTGGGAGTTCTTTATGGCCGACGAGGGCCCCGGCCGACGAGTGCACGGCCGACGAAGACCCGGCCGACGAGGCCACCCGGTTCTTCTGGCTTCCGGATCATGTTCTGGGTTGACTTCGTCCTGGCCGATGAGGGTCATCTGGCCGATGAGAGTCCCACTGGGTGACAGATGTGCCTTCTGTTTTCCTGAGTATGTGGGTCCTCGGGACTAGAGCCATATACTCCATCATGCGTATAGCCAATTTCCTTCTGTTTCTACTTTCTTTTGCTTAAGGAGTTTTATATTTTTTATGTTGTCCGCTTTATTCTATGATAATAAAAATAAATAAGGTTGGAGTTACTATTGTGCAATGGATGAAAGTGTGGATATGTACTGACCACATTGGAGTTCGATTCCCTGGACCATATGAAACTTTTGAAAAGTCCAAATGTTTGAATTTGACGGTTTCGTGCGGTTTTCGGAACGGGTTTGCCGGCGGGTTTGGACTAGGTCTTCGGGTTTTAGCGGTTTTTCATGATTTGCGGGTTTTTGGGTCAACCTGCATGGGCCGGTTCGGGTCTGATAACATAGGAAATTACTGTAAAGGGTAATTTTATAAATTTTTTAATTTAATTTTTTCTTAATATTATTAATAATTGAACAGAATCATACTTAATATTAGGTCATAGTGTTATCACATTTTATTAGTACTCCTTAAATAAACAAGGATCCTAGATACTCGGTAAGACCCAATAATGCGTGACTTGTTTTGAAATAGTGGGGGTTGGAGGTTTATTTGAGGTTTGGGCATTTCATTTCCTCAGATGAGAATATATCTATATGGCATGGCATGGCATGTGGGGATGGGATTCGATTCGATGCAAGTTGGTTGCTTAATGGTCTCCAACGTGATGGCACGTACGCCTGCAGCAGCAACTAACTGTTACGGTGACGCGAAGACGGTTGATCGAGGTGGCGGTGGCGGATGGGGACCACGGCTATTGGCGCGTGGGCCCCCACCCCCGACTTTTGTAACGGGCGGGGCTCCATCGCCTTGTCATCTAGTCACCTCGTCTCAACTATAAAACAGCCAAACCGCTTCTACCAATTCACCCCCACCAATTAGCAGAGTACCCTGTTTTTCTTCAACTTCCCCTGTTTTTTCTAAGCGTCAAAGAATTATTGGCTCTCTCTAAAGCTAGGGCATAAAATGACTCAGCAGAATGTTGTCATCCCCGGCGCACAAACCGCCCCGACTGTCGCGGCGGCCTCCCACTCCTCCGTCTCACCGGCCCGGGAATCTCCCGCCGGAGACAGGAACCTTAACATTCCTGGAAACCTCCCCCAGAGTAACCTCGAAGGCAGCTATACTAGCGCGAAAATGAAGACTGTGGTCGAGTCAATGAGAGCTTGCTCCCCCACTCGGAAGGGCAAGGGCTCCAGTCTTTCTGAAGAGCATGTCTCCTGGAAGGTGATGAGTGAGCTAATAGTAATTTGTGCTCCGATCCTTCAATTCATTTATATATAACTAACTAACTGTAGTATGGTAATGGCAGATGGAGCATCCATCAGCTCTGGACATGTTCGAGAAGATCATCAAAGCTTCAAAAGGAAAGAAAATTGTGATGTTCCTCGACTACGACGGCACCCTCTCCCCCATCGTCGACGACCCCGATCGTGCCTTTATGTCCTCCGCCGTTAGTATATATATCTCATCATCTTAATACCCCATATTCATACACATGCTGATACATATATATAAACGCTTTACATATATATATATATTTAAATCTGCCCATACTACCATGATAGTACCATCAATAAGAAAAGTTAATGTTATCAACGGCTAAAACTATTAAAACAAACACATTCCAAGTGTTTGCTATCAATTTTTCTACCACAATTACAGCTCTAGTCTTCTTATGTACCACAATATAAACGTACGCAATACAGCTTCATTACTCGCTCCTCCCTCAATTATTTCAAATTTCCTTTTTTTGTTTGTTCCAATTCAACTTTCATTTTTCTTTTTTGTCAAAATTTGTGTTTCATACCATTTTTTTTGCATTTCTTTTTTCTCTGCGTAGACTCTTCACAACACAATACACGCTATCTTAATTCTCGTATCATTTGTACTATGGGAACTTTATTAGGTACAGATAGCGTAAAATTCATGACGTTTCAACTTCTTTTACTTGTATCTTTTTATATAGCCATCTTTGACTTTTCCAGTCAAAACTGGTAAACTTTGACCAATTGTTTTAATTAATACTCCTTCCGTTCTGTTAGACTTTGTCAACTTTTCTTTTTTGATTGTTCTAAAAAACATTGTCACTTCTATTAAAGCAACTAATTTGTAATTCTGCGCATTTCTCTCTCATCTGCACAATCTCAACCACACAGTTTTTACTATTATTATTTCTCACCTACTTTGCACTTGGCAAAGTCCACCGGGACGGAGATAGTATATTTATGTAAATTTAATTATTCTATACTTTTCTTATAGTATTTTTTATAAAAAACAATTTCATATCATTTTCATATTATCAATACTCATGTGTATAAATATATAATCAGTCAAAGTTAAACATGATTGACCGGAGAAGTCAAATTTGGCTAAAAAAGAGGACGGGGAAAGTATCATGTACTGAATAAAATTTATAAAAACTACACTCATGTATAACATGAAAAAGAAAATATGGTCATAATTGAAATTATATGTCGGAGTATAATATATTTCTACACACTCTTTCACAACAATTATAAAATTATTGTAAAGTTAAAATATATGTGTTCAAATAATTTAGTACGTCTATATATTTCTAATATACAGTTTATATGAAAGTACATGTTGTCCTATGTATAGTTCAACCTATATTTGTTCCAATAATACATTTTTTCCTCTATTGTTCTAAAAGAAATGTGGAAATTTGTTCTTTGTCATATACCTTCGAAAAATATAACTTCCTCTTACCTTTTTTAATATATATATATATATATATATATATATATATATATATATATATATATATATATATATATATATATATATATATATATATATATATAGACACACACACACACACACATACATATATACACATATATACATATATACACATATATACATATATACATATACACATATGCACATATATATATATATATATATATATATATATATATATATATATATATATATATATATACATATATATATATATAGTAACTATGATGGTATATTTTAAATTTCGTGATTTTGTAACTGTAAGTAGTTTTATATTTAGTAACTTGTAAGTATTAATTTATTATTAAAATAAAAATTGTTGACAAAAGTGTGAGCTTTTATACATAGTTACTACGATAGTAATTGTATTGATCATGATTATATTTAATTTAACAGTATTCACCACAATTTGTAGTCATGTCTTTGTTTATAAATTATACTCGTAGTCGGTAGTATTTCAATAATATTTAAAGTAAAATACTACGTATCAGAAAGACCCGAAAAGTCAAAGGAGAAACTTAACCAAATTTTAAAATCAGAGCACAGTTCATACATTTATGTCTGAGCAAATAAAAGACGCACTACCTCATGAAGCTTATTAAGTCCCCAAATTAAGCCGTCTCTAATTTCTAGTTTCCACACTTAAACAAATGTAATTTTAAATATATTCTGGTTCACAGAATTTGAGTCTATTAGTTTATACGTGATGTATTCAAATATCCAGTCTTAAAGCATGATCCGTATTCCCTAAGTTCTCCCTCCAAAAGGTAGAGTAATCCCATCTGAATAGTAAATGAAATGTTGTTATTCCTTAAAGAATGTACGGAGTATGAGTATTGTTCTTTGAATTGTTAGTTCTAAAATTAAATATTACATTCGTCCAAAATTGTTTTGCAAAGTCAACATTTTTTGATCAACCAATAATAAAAATCAATCATCGCTATCGATAATGACCTCAAATCTTAATAATTAAAATTTACATATTGAGAAACTACATTAAAATCTCTTCAAAGTTGCAAACTTCAAATTAGAATATAATTAAAAATTGACATCCTAATTAAGCAAATAAAATGAAACTGTTTGACCAAGAAAAGTCAAATTTCCATATCAAGCAGTATAATTTGCATCTTTCTCCTACCTTCGGTAGTATAAGGTCTTATTACGTACAATAGGTCCATTTTCGATTCGATTTTTGAGATCTCTCCCCCTTTGTCTTTATTTTAAATTCCTAATATATTTGATAATACTCCGTACTTAAATTTGTTTAATCAGCTAAATCTATTGAAAATTAAGAGATTTTGTTTGAAATGATTGAATTGGCTGAAGTACGTGGTTGAAATGTCAATAAATTAAAATGTATTTGATTGATACTAAGTTAATAAAGGAAAATCATACTCCCTATGAAAATACATAGACTAGACATCCATAGCAATTTAGCTAATTAGCTCAGAAAAGTAGCTTCGATCATACTTATTTTGATTATGACATAATTTATTGCACAAAATCAAAAATTATGTGTTTAGTAAAAAAGAACTAATTGATAAAACTGAAATTATGAGTTACAATATGGCCTCTTAGTTAGAAAAGAATATTACAGAAAATAGGATACGAACAGGATGTGCGACAAATAGGAACCAAAACTAGAATAACAGGACATATAAAGTATAATATGACTAGAACTCTGTTAATATGTTGAAGAATATTAATTATACTACAAATCCTGTCGATCAGAATATTAATTATACTACAAATATTCTAAAAAGTGTTGATTATTACACGTGTATAGGTGTAGATTAATAATTTTAAAACGAGTAAAGGATATTTTCTTATAAGTATTTGAAAGTGACGTTCACTTAAGAACACCCTTTACGTGGATATTGGTAACATAAAATTTTAGTTTTAAAAAAGAAGTAATAACTTTGTTTGTTTTCAAAAAGGCTTTTAAAAACAACTAGTCATCCATTCCAAGCGGCCAAGCCTAATTAGTACGCGTCCTACCCTAGGTGACATTAACACTAGGCCTAACCTACCGGCAATGGTTTTTCCCAACTCTTTTTCATATCAGTAATTATAACCAGAGGAGGAATACACAAGGAAAGCTTTGGTTTTTCTTCAAAACAACGTTGGTCTTATAAAGTACGGAGTAATGGTTGTAATGTAAAGTGTAGAAATGGTCCCAAAAAGGAAAAGGGCATGATTGTAAATAGCCTATATATTCCATTATTTTAGTAGAGTATGAAAGCAACTTGGGAAAGTTTGACAAAGATTTCCACTAAAACTAATAAATTCAATGTTCTTCTGGTTGATATCAGATGAGGGCAACAGTGAGGAAACTAGCCAGATATTTCCCAACTGCCATAGTGAGTGGAAGGTGCAGAGACAAGGTACTAGTGTGTTTGCTTTTCTGCTATAGTCAATCCCAGGCCAGGCCAGGCCACTTTTGGTTCTTTCTGGAACCGCTAGCTTAGTAACTCATAATTACAGGCAGTGGTAAATTACGAGTATTAATTAAATTAAAGGCTAACATATTAATTACTGTACTTATTAATATGTTTATTTATTTGATCAACGTTTAGGTCTATAACTTCGTACGATTAGCGGAGTTGTACTACGCGGGCAGTCATGGGATGGACATAAAAGGGCCTTCCAAAGGTTCCAATTTCATGAAAGTAAGTGGAAGCTTCGTTACTTTGATATTCTCGCTCGTACATGTTCTAAAATAAAATTAAATTATAACCGGAACTATCTTATAGTTTGATGATGTACTAATATACTATGATATATATATATATATAGGGAGCTCATCAGGGCCTTCTTTTCCAACCAGCTAGTGAATTTCTACCGATGATCGACGAGGTTAGTGTTGTCATTTCCTGTACGTAATAGTGATCATCGTTTCAGTTAATTATAATGAAATCTAATAATACTATTTTTGGTAATGTGCGATTTTTATTTTAGGTCTCTAAGGCTCTCTTGGAAAATATAAGATCAGTTCCGGGTGCTACCGTGGAGAACAACAAATTTTGCGCCTCTGTGCATTTCCGCTGCGTGGAAGAAAAGGTAACCAAATGTCGTGATCGACTTGTAGCCTTGATTATCTACATATCACACAAATTTATACTTTATGGTCGACATTTCACATTTGACAACACACGTCTGGCAGTAATTATTATCTCCGTCCCAAAAATGCTTCTCGGTTAGATTTAGCACGCTTACTAAGAAAGTGGAATAAAGTAAAAATGTATGATTATAGTTGTGTAAGGAAAATGTAAAATGAATGTGAGCCACACAAATTGTCCAAAAAGGAAAAGCGAGAAAAGTTTTTTGGAACGGCCCAAAAAGGAAAGTGGAAAGTATTTTTTGGGACGGAGGGAGTATATCTTAATTCTATTACTAAAAAAATATTAAAAATCAGTTTTTGAAAATTTGTAATGAGATGAGTTGAACAATATTTTTTTAAAAATACTCCGTATAATTTTCATAAAATAATAGCGTAAAATGTAGTCAAAGTAAAGCATGTGAATGGTATAAAATTCAACGTGTTAAGATTAAAATAAAATGGAGTCGTTTGGTTTTGATGAATGGAACCAATAATGTGTCCTAACAACATTTTATTAACACTTAGCTTGTTGAAGAAATCTCAAAATCATTAAAGAAAAGAGACAAACAAAATTCTGGTTTGACCACAATTATACATACACCTAGACGTTAGGCTCTCGTACCGTCGGCCTGGAACCTGGTCGGGCGGTGATAATAGAATGATCCAGAGAAGGAGTTATTAAATGCAGAGCATTACAAGTACAATATGGAAAATACCCCTCCACCCTGTTTGGAAAAGCGACATTAGAGTGACATGCCTCGACAATCATTTCGTATTCTTATATCGTTAAAATAATCAACATTTTTAAGAGCCGAGTGAGTGAATTTTATTTGGCGCATAAAAAAAGAATGTGTGATGTTGCTTTTTGTTACGGTTCGTTGAATTGGGTAAAGAATTTGATTTGATTTTCGATACAGAAATGGGGCGAGTTAGCAAAACAGGTCGGATCGGTTCTTAAAGAATACCCAAAGCTTCGGTTATCCCAAGGGAGAAAGGTGCTCGAGATCCGACCAATCATCAAATGGGACAAAGGCAGAGCTCTCGAGTTCTTGCTTGAATCTCTCGGTGCGCGCGCGCTTTATTAATTATTAATTATTAATTATTAATTATTAATTAATTAATACTAAATATTGCTAACCCACCTTCTGCTTTTATGATTGTGATCAATAGGATATTTTTAATTTTTAGTATATTTTTATATGAATAATTTCTCTAATTAAACTTGTGTTGGCTCAATAGGATATGCCAACTCCACTGACGCCTTCCCTATTTATATTGGGGATGATAGAACCGATGAAGACGCCTTCAAGGTATTGTCCAATATAATGATATATCCATAATTATTAGGTGAATAATAATCACATATTTAACATAGCGATTAATTATTTGATGATTAGGTGTTAAGAGAAAGAGGACAGGGTTTTGGAATTCTTGTTACTAAAACTCCAAAGGACACCCATGCGTCTTACTCCTTGCAAGAACCGTCCGAGGTAGGAAATTAAACCTTAGCTTTAGAAATATTTCTTTTCATTTCCATCAATATATGAAAACTAATCCTTCTTTTCTTTTCTCTCCCAAGGTTATGGCATTTTTGCGTCGTTTGGTGGAGTTGAGGAAGATGGGATTAAGAAGGCAGTGTAGGTTGAGAAGAGAAACTGGGCAGGGGGAGAACTCTGCACAGAAGTGATGGATTCTGATCAAGCTTTATTTCATGTAGAAATATATATATATATCTATGTATATGTAGGTTTGTGTGTGAATGTATTTTCTTGTTTAATAATTAACTAGAATAACAAAGTGTGTAATTAGGGGAGGGAAAAAGAACTACTGTTGTTTTCCATTGTTCTTTTTTCCCCTTGGCTTAACTTGAAATGCCTTGTACATCCTCATGGTAACTTGCTCTGCATAAGGGGGCAATTTGTAATTCTATTATCTTCTACATATGCATATTTAGTACTCCACCTGCTTTGTTACCTGTTTTGTTAAGATTGTCTCACTAAGATTGTCAATTACAGAATTTGGTATAATTTGATTATTTCAAATCATTCTTATTTTATCAATTCAATATCAACCATCTAAATTTACTTTTGTTAATAATCGTATTACATCTTCATATCCCAATGTTAGTGAAACGGAGGTAGTAATGTATAGTTGTAGAACCCTCTTGCGTATAAGAAACCATTAAAATAAATTAGAGCCATGTTAGGCCCAACATCGATGTCTCAGTTCAACCCCCCACAACCATCTAACGATCCTCCTGAAACCTTGACCTCGTATCAACCAGATGAGGATGAAAATTCGATATTTTAACAACCTTATGTGGATGAAGGTTTAACTGAGAGATTTCAAGATGTTTTAAAAGTAGCCGATCAACCCTTGTATGTTGATTGTGAGGGATACTCTAAGCTATCTGCCTTTACAGAGTTTATGAACACAAAAATTGAATACAGTCTCCCTGAAACTTGCATGACTAGAGTCTTGCAGTCAGTAGGCGGGATGCTACCACGTGATCATAACCTCCCCGATTCATATTACCACATGAAACAATTAATGTCTAAGTTGGGGCTACCTTATATAGAAATCGATGCGTGCCCGGAAGGATGTATGTTGTTCTGGAAGGATGATGAGGCACTTGAATTCTGCAAGTTCTGTGGTGGAAACATATACAAATTTGTTCCTCAAAGTAAAAAAACCACGAAATAGGTTGGCATTATCTAAACTGTATTACCTCCAAATAGCTCCATGACTTCAGAGGATGTACGCTTCGACTGCTATTGCGAAACACATGACATGGCATGTTGAGCACGAAACCAAAGAGGGTAAGATGATGTCTCACCCTTCAGACTGTGAAGCTTTGAGATACTTTGACCGTTGTCATCCTCAGTTTGCAATGGAGCCACGAAATGTGCGACTGGGATTGTGTTCAGACGGATTTGCTCCATTTGGAAGGTTTGGGAAGAACTATTCATGTTGGCTGGTCATGTTAACTCCTTACAATCTCCCTCCCGACATGTGCATGAAAAGTCACTTTATCTTTTTGACTTTAATTTGTCCGGGTCCTAATGATCCAGGAAAAAAGATAGACATTTATCTCCAACCCCTTATCGAGGAGATGAAAGAACTTTGGGCCATTGGGACACCAACTTATGATGTTTCAAGGGATCAAAATTTTATCATGAAAGCTGCCATCATTTGGACCATTAGCGACTTCCCTGTCTATGGCATGCTTTCGGGGTGGAGCACACACGGTCTTATGGGATGTCCGATATGCATGGAGAAATCAAGTGCCAATTGGCTAACTTTCAGTAAAAAAAACCAAGCTACTTTGATTGTCACCGCAAGTTTCTCCCGACAAACCACCGAAATCGAAAGGACAAAAAGTCTTTCATTAGAGGTAGAGTGGTACGAGACACCCCGCCCCCAAGATTGACCGGGAAAGCAATTTTTAACTAGAGTTCGACGTATTCCTACGGCTGTGCAAGAACCAATAAGAAGCCATATGAGTTTTGTGATACCCATAAGTGGACAAAGAGGAGTATGTTAGGCATATTTTATGGTGTCCAATCTAATTAAATATCTTTGTATTTGTGTAGTTATTAATTAAACGTGTAATACGGGCCACAAATGTGTATCAACCCGTTAGCTTCTTTGTAACCCGTAAGTTAGCCAACTTCTCCTACAAAAGGAAGCTAACTTACGGGAACCCTAACTAACGTTCGAGGCTTTAGAGAATAGAGGCGCAGAGATAGAGAGATTAGGGTTTGCCGCTACTCTCCTTCTCCAGGGAGAGCAGCGGCCAGTTTACACGGTATACCAAAGGTGTTGTTAATCTTCGTATCTTTCTATCTGCTTCTTCTTCACTGCTTATGATTGTTGATTGTTAAGTTTTGGTTTTATCAATTGGTATCAGAGCCGAGGCGTGAAACATGTTGAATCTATCTGCGATTTTTCTGATCTTATGAAGAACTGCTCTGCTTTTCTTCTCTTTTTCTTTGATATAGAGATTTGCTCCTGTTATCTTGTTTGTGAACGAAAATCTGTAAAAATTATACTGTTGGAATCGCCTTTCAAAACCGATCCAGCAGCATATCTCTGTTTTCGATTTCTGCAATTTTTCAATTTCGAAGATCTCTACATTTGAGATCTCGAGATTCTTGTTTTTCACTGCTGCAGAAACGATTTTGACTTGAAACTGATACAGGAGAATCTCGACCTTCAGGGCTATTCAGAACCGTTTTCAGATTTTCAAAAATTGAAGTTGTCATTTTGCAGGATCTCGACATTTAGGGCCTCGAATTCCTCATCTCGAGTTTTGAAATCTTGAGTTTTGAAATCTTGAGTTTTGAAATCTCGAGTTTTGAAATCTCGAGTTTTTTGAAATTTCGAGTTTTAACATCTCGAGTTTTGAAACCTCGAGTTTTGAAATTTCGAGTTTTGGGATTTCGACATTTGAGATCTCGCTGTTTAGAATCTCGACATTCTGAAAGATTTCGAGATTTTAGGAATTTCTTGATGTTTTGAATGTTTCAATGTTTGGAGTTTCTTGAATCACCGATTTCTTCTAAACTTGATATCTTTCCTGTTCAGAACACTTCGAAGCTTTACATTATAGGATTTTTGGATGAATCTCTGTTTTTCAAATTTTTTAGAAGTTTTCGATGTTCTGATGTTTTTCAAACAGCAAGTTTTCGATTTTCTGAGCTTTTCGAAACTCCAAAGTTTTTGATGTTCCAAACATTTTGAAATTCTGAAGATTTCGAAGACTGTAGGTTTGTTTTGCAGGTGGATTTCGTCATTTTTCTTCGAAGCAAACTCGAGATTAAGTTCTCGAGATTTAAACCTCGAGATTGTAATCTCGAGATTTAAAACTCGAGATTGTAATCTCGAGATTTAAACCTCGAGATTGTAATCTCGAGATTTAAACCTCGAGATTGTAATCTAGAGATTTAAAACTCGAGATTGTAATCTCGAGATTTAAACCTCGAGATTGTAATCTCGAGATTTAAACCGCGAGATTGTAATCTCGAGATTTAAACCTCGAGATTGTAATCTCGAGATTTCAACCTCGAGATTGTAATCTCGTGATTTAAACCTCGAGATTAGGATTTCGAGGTATTGCCTTAGAGATTTCCTTAATCCCACCTGTTCTTGATATTCAACATCGAGAACCTCAACTTTGAATAAATTCTTCAAAAACTCAAAATTAGAGATTTTCTGCGACACCACACTGTTTTGGCCATAACTTTTGACTCGGTGATCCGATTTGTGCAAACCTTTTTTTGTTGGAAAGCTAACGAAAAGATATACATTAATCCTTAGACTATGCCCCAGAAACCTTTCTCACGCGCCGTCACTCGCAGCCCTTGAGGGTCAAAACGTTAGTTTTCCGACAAACTTTGTAAATCACCGATGTCCAGGTCAAATCTTAGGCAAATCTGATCAAATTCTTTCAAAGTAAACCTAAGGTCTAAGCTCCACAGTAGAGGTCCGAAAATCGTAGATAATTCAATCAACCTCGCGTCAACGGTCATCTTACAACAATCAACAATCAACTGCTGAAGCCTCCCCTAACTCATCAACATTGTGTGATCCTCAAACATGCTGAATTTCTAAATGATGAGCTTAGGGAAACCGCCATGTGTGGTACTTGTTCAGATTGCTCCACACACATGGCGGGTATGACAAGCTGTGAGCAATCAAACCTTGCACATTCTGAGGGGGAGTTTCAGTTTTCTCCTCCTGGCGCCTTACACCGACAAAGCAAGGAATCTCTCAACGGATGCAACTATTTTAAAGGGAGTGTTCAATGTTATTCTCCCCGGTTCCCAACAATGACAAAGCATACCGAGTGCTCCAGTTGAGGGGGAGTACAGAGAGAAAATAAAGAAAGTAATGAGAGAACATGTTCCTATGGCTTAGTAAACCCAACTAAGCCTACCCAAGGGACAAAGCCGAGCGTAAGTGAGTGAGTGAGCGAGTGAGTGACTGAACATTATGAGCATTAGGTAGCAGAAGGCTCAAGTGAGCAAGAATACAATAATCAATGATGAGTCTGCTACCTCAACTGCCTGTTATGTATTGAACATTTACTCCTAGCCACTCAAATACTCTAGACAATTCCCAAATAGGTTCAGGACTGATTTAATCAGATCCCAGGTAGAAGTCACTGCATCTTGTCCAACAGTGCATGTTTAACCCTACCCAAGACCACTCACTTGTCTCCCAACAGACAGGTGTTTAATAATATTTCACGGGGAACCACATCTCTCTTTACTGTCTCCTTCTGAGGCAAGTGATACTGACTACAGTGGCCTCAACCCCATGCCACTGAACTTTCATTGATCATGTCGTGTATAGTTACCTCACTCCCAAATATTTTGAAAATTTCTAGGACACAGACGCACTTTTAGAGTCAGTTGCAGGTCTACATGACCCGCGAGAACTTCCATAGGGCTCATCTATTACAGATGTAGACCATTGATTGGAAGGAAGTCCTGCTGTTGCAACATAAGAATCACCAACATTTTCAGACCATCACTTTAGAGTTTAACTCTATAGTGATGATAACGGGCGTCTACACGACCCTGGGGGGCTACGTTATATTCTTTACATTCTGCTTGTTTTTTCCTGTTTTTATTTCCGCAGAATAAAAGAATAAAGGCATGACGCCCCGATTCATCGGATCGTCATGAGGGGGAGAGTGGTCCACATGCTGTCAACTGTAAAAAAAAATCATTCTGGGACACTTCTCTCCTCCAACACTCTCTCTACTATCTCTATTCTCAAATGGTCAGCTACGCTCACAAGTCAACCATCATTATGTTCCGTTGTGCCACCGACAAGTTCTCCTCAAATGCATTCATTTCAAATAGTCAAAAAGACTACATTGTGGAGGGGACAAAGGTCAGATACTCAAACTCGAAGATGAATTCCATGGGCGTCTCCTATTCTCCAACGAATATTCATTCTAGAGGCGCCACCAGACTTCATCCAAGCTGATCAAGAACAACTTCTGGAAGGCAAGGACTACAT